GCAGGTAGCTGTCCCATTTCTTTGCTGCGTGGTCCTCTAGCGCGCGCTTTACCTGCGTGTTCAGTGCGTTTAGGCGGGCCTTCGTGGTTGGGCAGCGTGTGGATTGCCAGAGTCTTTGTGCTCTACGTTTCTCGGCGATCTGTTCCTTTATGTAGGTTGGAATGGATGGTGTCCTTCCAGAGTTGGAGTGAGTGCGTGTCGCCGAGGAGATTGCAGTGCGGATGGCAGTTGTTAGCTCACTCGTTGCTGTCTCTACATCTGCTGGGGTGGTGATAGGTCGAGTTGACGTGTGGGACACTGCTGATTGTTGGAAAGTGTCCCAGTCGATGCGTGTTCGTTGGGTGGGTGGCAGCGTGCGGGCTGGTAGGCTGTGTAAGGTGCATAGCACCGGGCGGTGGTCAGAAGGGAGGTCCAACATTACCTCCTGCTCTATTATAGCGGTGATCCCTCTATGTACCAGGATGTCCAAGACGTCGTCCACTCGTCCTGCTGGGTCGTGTCTCGTCGGCTCTGAGGGGCCCGACACGTCGTAGTCTTGGTCTAGGGCATCCTGGTATATGCGGCGGCCGGTAGAGTTACAGCTGTGTGAGTGCCAGGCTGTGTGCTTGGCGTTGAAATCGCCTGCCAAAATGGTTGGTAGCGGGTGTAATAGCTCTCTTAGCTCTGTAATGTCCAGTGTTGTGCCCGGCGGTCGGTAGATCGCGTACACTCGTACATTCGAGTCTCCTAGGAGTATATCAATACCGAGGGCGCGTAAGGTAGAGTTGCGCGCCGGGGGAGCAGGCTGGTGGATGACACGGCGGTGGACGATCACCATCAGCCCTCTGATGGGGCGTCCGTCCGCTTGCGCTGCTTCATCCTGTCTATAGATACTGTAATGTGGTAGGTTGAAAATAGTGTTAGGGGCCAGTCTCGTCTCACTCACCAGGGCGATGTCTACTCTGTGCTCCTGCAGAAATTGCAGTAGCATCCGTCGCTTCCCGGTGAGTGTCTGTGCGTTCCAGTGTACTATTTTCAGGGCTGCGAATTTTGTGGCGTTAGAAAGCGAAGGCATTTTTGGAGCTGCTCAGTCATTGCGAGCAGTTGGCTTATAGCGTCGGCCGGTACAGTTTGCAGCGCCTGTGTAGGCGCGGGTGTTGGCGCGGGTGGTGGGGGGGCAGTGGAGAGGGTCTTGTCGTCGCTCTTGGTTGCTCCGCGACGTCCTCTTTTCTTGCGGCGGCGGTTGACTGCAGATGCGGTGCAGTCTGCAGTCTGCAGTCGCGGGGGCGGGTCGTTTGCCGGTGCCATTAGAGTGGCCGGGGCGGATTCGCTTACCTCACGACGGGGGACCGTTGCGTTCGTCACAGGGCCGGTCTTGGCCACCTTAGACGCGGTCTTGTTACGTGTCTCCTTTTTGAAAGTCGGGCAGCTAGTGTGGTTAGCGGGGTGTGGCCCGCCGCAATTTGCACAGGTCGCGGGCTCCGACCGTGGTCGCGGGCAGTCAGCGGCGGCGTGCGGGGCTCCGCATCTTACACACGCGGGCGGACGATGGCACCCTTTGGAGGAATGCCGGAACCCTTGGCACCGGTGACATTGTGCCGGGCCCTTCTTCCCCCTCCAGGCTTCTAGTGTCACTCCTGTCATACACAAAAGCTCTTTTATATTGTAGATGGCCGGGATGGTCGACGGCGATCTCTTTATAGCAGCAAAATAAATACATTTACATCTTTGATTATTAACTTTCTAGATACAGCGTCACCTAGTAAACACTACGAAAAAAACAGACCCTTAGCACGAACCAATATCGAGTTCTTAACGTTTGCGAGTCCGAAATGTCATGATCAAATGTGCACTGATTTTTAGTTCTCGTTACGTACTTTGTGGCGCTGCTGTTCAAGTTTCCATACGAAATTTGACATTTGGTTTTATGTACTTGTGTGCGTGAGACGCAAAACAGAACATGCGTATCTTGCATCTTACACTCGCGAAATGTCATTATTTTTCTCTCAGTGCGCATGCGTAAGATACCATGTTAGGCCACATTCCCTATGAAAGTGGGTAAACTTCGTCAAATCAAAATCAATATATTGTTCACACAATTTAAAATCATAGACGTTGAAACATCTGTAAAATGTATAAATTTATACTTGAATATTTGAAATAAAAAATATTGGAACGAAGTTCCTTACGGCAGGCTTGGAGGGGATAGGGATTTTGCTGCGCGACCGAACTGAAAAAAATGTGATAGTAAAACCGTAAGAAAAAATCCGTGGAAAAAAGTGCGTGGAATAAAACCGTTAAAGGAGACGTGCGCAGGCGCGACAGTCGCATACACAAGCGAGTTTGCAATTTGTGTCGATTCTACATTAGCCGAAGGAACTTCGTTCCTACCTGGTGTCCCACGACACCACATCATTTTTTTGTAACAATTTTTTATTAAGTTAAACTTAAATAATAGCCATGTTATTATAGAAACACACAACGAAATTAACCTTTTTTTCATATAATGATTGTAGGGGTGACCCCCTACATAATGATATTAGGATAAAGAAAGAAGGACATCTGATCTTGTTGAATGCATGACGAGCATTGATTTATTATGCAAAGATATGTTTTTATATAGTTAATACAATCACGTATTATGATGCATTTCTCAGATACAGCTTAATGATTAAAGTAGGTTATGCTTGCTTCGCAGATATACAAGATTACTGTACGAGACTCGTACAATGATGATTAAGGCATTGAATTTAGTAGTTTAATATTGTTTATCTTTAAAATTTTGACAAATTATACAATACTTGTTTTACGATTATTTTAATTTATTATTTTATTAAAAGTACGATACATTTATTTCTAGAAACATAAAAAAAAACATAATCTAATTACATAATTACTATATATATAAATACTAGAACAATAAAACTAAAAACCTTAAAAATAAAATTAATAACTGAAATATATTATTAAAAAGAGTCCCTTTAGGCAAGGATCCGAAGATACTGGCAGCGTTACCCCGTTGAATGGCTAGACTAATTCTTTGTCCGAGGTAGCTGCCAGCTCTTCGGTCTCCTGTGATGTCGACTAACCTTTTTGCTATTTCCTTAAATAGCCTTAAAGCGCTTTTATTAAAATGATCTGAGCATATCACCGTAGTTTTTGCTATTTACTTTGAATTGCACGTCACGTGAATAAAAATGAACAACTGACACGCAACTTTTACCTTTTAAGCAGGTTTTGTTCAAGTGGCATTTAATTTGCATTATTTAAAAAGGCATTATTAAATTATCTTCACACATAACATAATTATGTACTTTATGTTGTTTCGATAATCTTATTGTTGTAACCTTATCTTAGATAATTTTGATCAGTTAACACTAAGATTTTTATGGAGCTGACTGTACATAAATTTGGCACATTTAATTGGAACATACCTATAATTGACATACATCATAACAACATCATCAATGGATACACATTTTTGTTGTCAATAGGTATCTATAGGTACATTTTTAAACACAATTTTCTCAGTCACTCCCTATGATTATAAGTCCTGGCTTCTTTTATAGTTCATGTCCAGCGGAATTTAGTTGGTAGTCCTGTTAGGCGAAAATATGGATAAAATTCTCAACTTTCAGGTTTAGTAATTTACAATACATCTAACGATACGATAAGTCTAAAAGTCGTGGAACTATTGTTGATCGAAGATATTTAAGAATAACGCCATCTCTTAACATTCGTTGGAATGAAAACTTAGTTAATGTGTTAACAGATGGCATTAGCAGTATAAAAAGATGATACGTTTTCTTTTGCAACGGATTTTGACATTACGAGTAAAGCTATTATGGTATTCTTTCTTATGAAATTACATCAGCAGAGTTTAAAACAAATGGTCAAGAGCTGATTTCGTAATTTGTACAAATTTTCGTTCTGATTTAGGTGTGATATTTTATTGCTGAAATTGTTGGTTTTTGTTGACGATCATTTGCTCTGTGCGTTGCTCATTTTCTTTCATTCATTCAATCATGCATTCACCATTAATTAGGGATGTCGAAAGTGAAAAAACATCGGCATATCGATACATAGTATTTTTTATCTATATCGACCTCGATATTTCTCAAATTTTATTCCGAGATGTGACTGGACTAAGATAACAAAGACGTATCTAAATGCAGATACAAGATACGAAAAACGTATTATGATCTTGTATTTCGAGTACTTTTTTGAAATTTATCTTGTATTTAAATACTTTTTTCCGGTATCTTAGTATTTTAAAGATACTTTTCTTGCTAAAATCCTTTTTTTTTTTAATTTCTGTATTATTTTCAAAACGTCGAAAATATGTTGCAATCTAGTTCTCCTAACTCTGACCCAATCCGTAAGGAATTGGGTTCCCGTGGAGCCCTGGCACCATACCCACTACCAGAACCACAACAGCAGCAAAAAGTATTATTATTTTCCTGTGGTATCTTGAAATATCGAGGTTACTTCCCCAGACGGTCGCTCCAATTAGATCGGAGTGGATGAATTTCATTCGGACTTTAGCAAACCCATTTTTTTGAACTAGGAAAAGAGATATGCAAAAGATTTGTATTTTAGATACTTTTTAGGGTATCTATTAAATCTCTGATAATATTTTAATGTTGAAAGCGACTACAAGGCCACTGTCAGGTGCCATCTTTTGTGACACAGACTCTATACAATTACACGCACTACCACAGACAGCCTGGATTGGAATTCAGCACATCATAATATCAGCCCAAAAACAAAAAAATAGTAAAATTATTGAAAACAAATCAGTTTCTTAAGGTATTTTACGGCTTTTAATTTTAGCGAATTTAGGTAGATCGTGATGTGATGCTTATTAATAAAAAATATATCGTTTTGATACGAATTTCGGTACTGATTATTTTGTATCGGTGTATTAATATAGCAGACCAAAATATATGGGCTATCGGTATATCGACTAAAAAAATATCGATATTTTTATGAACAAGCCTATCATTCATCAATCCGTCAGTCCAGTCAGTCAGTCAACAACGTCAACGGACGGACAACGAACGAATTTTGTGTTCGGTCATTTTGTTGTTAATTCGTGTTTTCTTTTTAAATTGATATTTATTCTTTCAGTTTTATTTTCATCAACTTATCGAGTGTTTTAGAATAGTGCAACGTGGCTAGTTAACTTAGCATATAATGATATAGTATGTTGATAATAGTGTGTGACATGTGAAACAAATCAATAGATAAATCGCCCGCTTGTTTCAATACTTAGTGAACCGGGGGGGTGATTTGTGAGTAAGAACGGTACGATAGTGAATACAATCTTGTGCATATGATTACACTTTTATGGATTTGAAAATAAAGAGGTGTCGATACTATATTTTGAGTATGGGACTACAGTGAATTTCTGTGTGGGATATCAGAGATCAACGTTCCCGAGAGTTGTCAGTTTTCAATGGAGTTTTAACAGGTAAGTTCTATAATGCGAAGTTATTGTATGCACCGTTGTGCGAAGTGTGCTTTTTAAGAGTTAGTTGCACGGTACCAAGCAGGAGCTAAAGTCGCGAAGTGGTGATAATTAGGAAGCTGTGAACAGTTATGCGCGGGGTCGTCGACGTTGCGCTGCTGGCCTGCTGTCAGCCCACAGCCGGCTCCGGTGTTGAGCACATTATAGCCTTCTGTCATCACCATCATACTGCATGTTTATGTATTTGCAATAAACACTTTAGCTAAATTATCATAGTCTTGAGATCTTGATTATCTAATTTAGAGAAACCAAATATCAAAATATATGGAGTTCATAAACACAAAGTTGAATATTATTATTTTCTGAAGCTCAGTACAAACACTATTCAAATATATGATATGTTGACATCAAATATAGTTAATGTTGTTGAATTTATTGAGAAATGTCTACCTATATTTAAAACTAACTAAATTCTCACTAACTTTCTTTGATCGACAACTGGTCTTGTAACTATATGAATAGTTAAAAACAAATCAATCTATTTACCAAGATAAACCCTGTACAAAATGTTAATTTTCATTATTTTTATACTGAGCATACATACATAACAATTCTTTCAATCATTATTTTAATTTTCCAACTATTATCTGTTTTGAGATCATGCACAAAGTTTGAAAAATATGTAATCAATTAGCAATAATTACTTAGTTGATAATTGTTATTACTTGATTAGTGAATCTGTCAAAGAAAAAGAAAAGGCAACTTTTGATTTAAATGATATTTAATGAAAGATCATAGTAATACATGGGAAGCATAGAAAAATTCATAAATTATTTATTTGTTTCAAGTAACAAAGACCCATATACATAATACATTAATCACCTATATATTATTATTAGTTTAAAGTATGAACTGAAAATGTTTTGCATTTATTTTATGTATCCTTCTGTGGGCTCGCTCTAGTCTGAAGGATAGGGACAGCTGTTTTAAGATTTTGTTATAAGTATGTATAACATTATGGTATTAAATGACAGCTCTTCTATTATTTCATTCTATATTCATTAGGTTGAATAAATAGTTAAAAAAATATAAAAGACTTACAAAACATTTACCACAATATATTTGCCATGCAAAACTAATAGTATTTTAACAATAACAAAATATGAAATACAGCAAAGTTATTGTTTTGTAAGCTACCTTGTTGTGACAATTGAATTGACAAAGTCATTGCATAAAAGCAGGTTTTAATGAAAGCAGTATTAAATAAATAAATAAATTATAAAGATTTCCTACACTCACACCAATTAGCCTAGCCCCAAAGTAAGCACTGTAGGCTTGTATGGGATACTAGGGTAACGGACAGAATACATATACTGATACATATATTAGTATATTTTTATAGAAATAAATATTAAACATCCACTACTGGAGTACAAATGCTCGTATTCACACAAACATCTGCCCCCACGGGGATTCAAAACCGGAACCTCTCGAGTAGGCGACACCTTGAAACCCTGCATACAAACCCCTCAGCCACAGAGGTTGTCGGTATTTATCACATTAGATTAAAATTAAACACAGTTTTCGTTATTTATTTAATCTCAGTATTTAATAAATAACAAAAGCCACCTGTGACTTTTTCTGCATAACTTTAGTTTTTGACAATGTTTCTGTATATTTCCGGGAGAAAAAGTATCCTATGTCTGAATCCAGGTTATAAACATAGTTTATCCAAATCCATTCAGTAGTTTTTGCATAATGAGTATTAATCATTGTCACATTTATAATATTAATGGGATAGTATTTCAGGTACAAAGTCCAGTTGTTTAGGTCACATTGCAAATACCAGAAATGAATATTACAATCTAATTGATATTTAGTTCTTATCTTTAGAAATTTTACTCATACAATATTGTATTATAATATTTCTTTTGCTGATTTATGCCTTTAACTATAAACATTAATGATTGAAAGATTTTTTATTTTTTTATTTATTTAAAAGGCTTACCAACAATTGTAACACTTAAGCAATTATAAATATTGACATGGAGACACATATATCAATGTTACAATTAATTATAAGTAAACACCACATTTACCATATCTATATCAAACAGGATGTGTTAAAATTTAACTTGTATACCCTAACTTATATGTTATTTTATCCAAAAAAGGGTCATTACAAAATTAAAGGATCTAAAATTAAAAATAAATAAACATCTCGGACACTCAGTCTGTCAAGTTCCTACTAATGGCTGAAGTTACTGCACTGGGGCTATCAAAGTGTAAATCAACTTTATCACTAAAGCTGTTCAAAATTTTGCAGAATCTTGCATAGGAGAGTTAGTGCCTAAAACAGTTCTTCTTAAAGGAAGAGATAGTTATTTTAAACTGTTTAATGAATAATTTATTTGTTTCTTAGGTTTTCACGCACATCACTCATTAAATAAAACTAGTTTCAACGGGTCGTAGATCTGAAAAGGCTGTAAAACGTCAATAAATAAATAAAGTTTCGTGCACTAACCCGTTAAAACTAATTTTATTTAATGAATAATTTATTTAAATCATTATAGATCAAGCCAATTATTATATGTATATGAATATTTATTTGTCACTTTCTAAGAAGATAGACTTAGCTAGATGTTTAAGCAATAATGCCTCGCTGATACTTATTTGTCTATTGATTTATTGAATTATTTTGATTGATGCTTATATTATTTGTTTTCTTGCTTGTTGGACATTAGTCGGTAGACGCGGCGGACGTGCAAGATGATGGTGGAGACCATGCTGGAGTCCTCACAGGACTTTGGTGAGTTTTGATGTTGCGCATACTACTATGATTTCGAGCTTATAATATTTACTATAGAAACTTATATCGCTTCAGATATGTATCGTGTATTATCTGCTGTACAAAATTGAATCTTTATAAACAACAGCATAATATAAATGGTAAATTTTTTGATATCACATGATTTGCAAAGTAGCCTTAGTTTTTTTGTTAAGTTAGAAACTTAAATGGCCACGTGAAACGTTTCCGTTTAGGCACATATCAAGAATGAATAGTAAATTTGCTGGAAGATATACAAATTCTCACCGTCGTGTTAATTAAACTTACAGTTTTGGCACCTTTTCAATACTGTGTTAATTTAAACATTCGATTTGATCTTTCATAGTCAAACACCGGTCAGTGCAAAGTATGTAACTGCCGAATGCTAAGATTACACCTTATCACAGTACCGCTCGAGTGGAAAACAGGAATGAGTTTTGCATTATAGAAGACGGTCACCGCAGTCTATAGAAGCTTGCAACACCAGAAGCGACGGTCGCATGTTGCCAATCATTTTATGCTAATCTTTTTAATGGAGAGGGAGACAGTTCATTCTCGATTCTAAGATACGCCATATAATACAACTTCGGAGCTACATCTCCGATCTCTCTTTGTGAGTATCGTCGGTATGGTCGCAGGCATGTCGAACGGTGCGCTCCCGCAATGGAAGCGCGAGCTGCTGCAGCGGCGCGCGGCTCGCTCCCGGCCCGCGCCCGCCCCCGCCCCCGCCCCCCTCGCGGGCCCGCCGCCCTCACCCCCGCCCGCGCCCGCCCTCGCCCTCACCGCGCCCGCCTCGCTCGACGACGACGAGGAGCTGCGCTACGGGCCCGGCATCGTGAAGCGGCTCAAGTCGCGCTACCTCAGCCTCGCGCTGCGCGACGCCCCGCGCCGCCGGCCCTCCGTGCTGCGCCGCGCCGCTTCGCTCGAGCACCTGCTGGACGAGCGGCCGCCGCCCGCGCCGCGCCCGCCGCCCGCCCGCGCGCCTCGCCCCGCCTCCGTGGCCGCGCCGCCCGCCCTATGCCCCGCGCCGCGTCGCGATATCGTGAAGCGCGCCCGCTCCGTGGACGCGCTCAGCCGGCTCGACTCGCGCGAAGACCCGCATCCGCCCTCGCCCTCGCCGCCGCCGCCCTCCCGCGCCCCGCCCTCGCCGCTCCCCCGGGCGCCGCCGCTCGAGGCTCCGCCGCACGCGCCCCCGCCGCCGCCGCCGCCGGTGCCGGCCCCTCGGCCGCCGGTGTGCCGCAGCGCGCGCCCTCCTCGCCGCCCGACGCCGCTCCTGAGGGAGACGGAGCGGCCTCCGCCGGACGTGGTGCGATCGGCCTTGCGCAAGTTCGAGAGCGCCCCGACCCGACGGGCGGCGCCGGCCGCTCGCGTGTCGGCCGTGGTGCGCGGCCTGGAGAACGGCGCGCGCACTTCGACGCCGGAGCCGCGCGACCAGCAGTGTGCCAACGCTCGCGAGCCGACGCCGGAGCTCGATCCGATCGCGCCGCTCCCGGACGAGCAAGACGGCGCCGCGTCGTCGTGCGAATCCCGCGTGGTGTCGCGCGCGGCGCTGGAGGGCATCGCGCGCGCGGGCTCGTCGATGCGGTTCGCGTTCTCGGCGCCGCGCTGCGGGTCGCACCTGCCGCCGCTGGCCGCCGCCAACCCGGTGCTGGTGGGGCGCGCGCGCCGCGTGGGCGTCATCCGCCCGATGCCGGCGCCGACGCTGCGCTCGCCGGAGCCGCCTCCGGAGCCGGCCCGCAAGTCGGCGTCGCCGCGACCGTCGTCCCCGGCGCCGTCGGAGCCGGAGCCCGGGCTGCCGGTGCGCCCGGAGCGCAGGGACCCGCCGCCGTCGGCGCTCGTTGAGCCGATCCCGCGATCGCCGCCCGACGAGCGAGCGGTCGAGCCGGAGCCCGCTCGAGAGCGGGAGCCCGATGTCGTCGAAACTAAACCGAAAGCGGAGAAACCGCTCCTGAACGGTCACGCGGAGCCGAAACCGGTGGTGGAGAACGCGCCGTCGCGACTCGGGGGCGCGGATATCGAGCGCGCCTGGAACGGCACCGGTGAGCGAAGGACCGCAGTTCGACCTAAAGAAAAGAAGATCGTGGCGGAGAGCAAGGAACGGAAGGTGTCGGCGCCGTGGGCGGGCGGCAGTCCTCTAGGCGCGCGTCGGGGGCGGGCGCCTGCGCCGGGCGCGACGTCGATCGTGTTCAACTTCTCGGGGCGCAAGGAGGTGCCCGACTACATCGAGAACGACGGCATCATCCTGCGCGCCAGCCGCCGGAACAGACTGAAGGTGAGTCGCCTCTGTTCACAGTTTAGCTTCATTCCATCGCTAGAGTTTCGCGCTCCAGATGCGAAAGAGACGCGCCGATTGCGTAAGGCGGGCCGTCAAAGTACACGAACGTATTCTCGGTTGTTTTAGTAAATTAGCTCATGCAACCGCAGACAATGCTGTTACCTAAAACATGTCACGTGGACGGTTTTTAAACGTCTGGTTGAGTTGAGTTTATTGCCGCGCGGTCAGTTTTTTCGTGAGGCAAGGCGTCGTCGGTGTCGGCGCTCGTTTCGGTTCGGCGCGCGTCGGGAATGCGCCCGCGCCGACGCCGCGGTTACTTCCGACTGTACATCGACTTGTTTATTACCATTCATTACCTTTTTATAACTGTATATCGGAACAGTTCGAATGAGATGATACCTGTTAAACCATGTTCTCGTTATCTTAGAGGTCAAAGTGATTGGAGTCGCTCACCTCAAGGTTGTGTTTCAAATTCGTTAATAATATTTCTTACACTCACACCAATTAATTAGTCAATACCCAAAGTTGGCACGGTAAGGATTGCTATATTGAATAGGGGTGATGACGGAGTACAGTAATCGAAATTCTATATAGTCCGTCAGTTAGATGATCAAAAAATAATGGACACGTATTTTTTCTTTGGGCAATCAACCAAAAAATGACAAGTTATAGCGTATCAAAGTTTGGGAGTAGGGGCTCGTGACGTCACTTTTGAGTGAATTTTCACTTATAAGTGTACTATGTGAAAAAAGAAAAAATACGTGTCCAATACTTTTTGATAACCTACCTGATAAACGAAGAAAAAAAAATTAGTCATCATCCCTATTCTGAGGTAATGAATAGAAGTTCACCTAATGATACATAAACAAGATGTACATTAGTAACTAAACCGTTTTAGAAACAGCCATGACTCGGGCTTTGCCCCCACCTGGATTCGAACCTAAAACCTGAAGACTAGGCGACACCTTGACAAGTACCATTTTACGAAATGGACCCTTCTTTTCAGAATGATAATCAAATCCTAAAAACGTAAATTGATCACTGTCTTCACTTGGGTATAGGATTGCCAGATTCTGGCTTATCAATTCCGCGAAATATTCAAACCCCCCCCCCCCCCCCGTCTTAAACCCCTCATCACCCAGAATTAAAACATCAAGCAGGTCAGCGGTGTCATTCGTTATTAGTTTATTTTGTTACGAAACTAGCACATTATCAGAAGCCGGGATAATAAGGTCTAATTACTGGACACGGTACAAGATGCAAGATTTCGGGACAATTCCGGATTTTCCGGCCATCTGGCAAGCCTACTTGGGTATAACATCTAATTAACGTTATACTAGTCACGTTTATATTTTGCAAACTATCTTTCCACCGGTTTCTATAATCATATATACAGGGTGTTACAAAAATACAAATAAAGCTTAAAGGGCGTTGAAGTACAGCATATAAGGAGTCTTCTCTAATTTTCTTAAAATATTTGCATGAAGTTTTAACTTTTTATAATAACAGTTATTTTTAATGATTAATAAAAATATCGATCATTTTGAAGACACGTCACTAGTTCGATGATCATTAAAAATAACAGATTTTATAAAAAGTTACAACTTCATGCAAGCTTTATTTGTATTTTTGTAATACCCTGTATACACACATATATATATGAATGAATGAATGATTTATTTATTTCTCTCACAAAGTAACATTATAATTACAAAAGGGTATTGAATTACAGTAACGGTAAAACAATGCAGTTCTTTGAGAGAGCTGGAGATTGTACTAGGTTACAAAACCTGTGTTACGACCCCCAGGCTCAAAACCTCTTAAAACCCGTTTGCTTGCTAATAGACCCTAGATTATAAGAGAGAGTACAATATGTAAATGTTACATTGAATGTTACAGAACCATATTGAATTAATAACAAAAAGCTAAAGAAAGAATATAAATATTTGAAACGGACACGTAACATCCAAACGGCCAATAAATAAATGTAAGGTCACCGCCACAAAACGCTTTCCACCGCCGCCATCGTCAGCGTCACCTGCCGCGAGAATTGACTCGTGAAATCATCGATTGTGCAACCGCTGATATGCAAATATAAAACAATTTGGTATCAGCGGTGAAAGTGATGCGTAGATATACTATGCGGCGGCGCGGGCGCAGTGAAACCTGTGACCCGATCGACCGGCACTCTCGATTTCGTCGAGTATGCACGAAGTATGTCGAGTGAGGTCCTAAATTGTAACTTTTAAAGTTTATTATCACGCACATGAAATCAAAGGTTACATTTAGATCGTATTTTAACACAAAAGAACCATATCCTAAACATAATAAGCCATGCCACAGTGACGCCCAGTTCCGTTTTATTCGGAAAAAATGGGAACATAATCATTTTTCTAAGCTCAAATTTGTAATAACTGACATTCATTGCCACATAACTCATATTTGCCATAATTAAGCCGAATTGTTACCAATTATTCACAACATTATTTTAATTAGAAAGAAACCCGCGTAGTCAACCAACAAGCAATAACATTTGACATTTCGGAGACCTCACGCTACACTAGCGCCTCTAGCGGCGGATTCATACGCGATAGCCCTCATTAAGAAAGAATTGACAAGCTGTTCTTCTAGTAAATAGTTTTGCGGGAAGAAATGGTCTCAATCAGCATGTACGCTCTGAAAAATTCATCATCATCATCATCAGCCTGTTAATGTCCCCACTGGTGGGGCACAGGCCTTCCCCATGGATGCAATAGGGAGATTGGGCCATAAATCCTCCGTGCTTCGGAAGGCACGTTAAGCCGTTGGTCCCGGCTGCATCTGCAGTCGTTAGCACCCGCCAATCCGCACTGGGCCCGCGTGGTGGGTAATGGCCCAATCTGTAAAATTAATATAATTTAATTTTTTTGATAGAAAATTCACATACCTATGTGGATGACCATGCGTAGTAAATAGTTTCAATTTCGCCTTAAAATACGATATTTCTCGTTAAAAATTACATTACTAACCACTATTTTTAATCATATTCGTACCGTAAAGGAAATGAATCAGTAGAGTGAACAGTATGTACACGATATTTCTAGAAAAGGAATTCTTATTATGTAATTAGACGTGTATAAATTTTAAACGAAATGTCCCCTATCAATATTCTTGGGACACGAGCCGATGGTATAGCATATTGTGTCTACTGTCACAATCTCATCAGACATGTACGCAATGTCGTCTCGTCACCGCACCACACTCCAATGCATAATAAGAAATAGCTATCGTAAATCCACCCAATATACAATTGTAGCAAATTGTATGTCATATCACAAACGGTCGACCGTTACAACGATAAAGATATTGATCATTGTTATTCTAAGCGTTTGTGATGCACTAAACTCAGTTGTTTTTCGATCGCAAAGTACATACAACAAAAATTTCACGGCTGTTGACATATTTACTTGCAAATGTAAAGCATCTTTTAAAAAACAACTTTTAGGTCTGTTGGTTGATTGGTAATATACAAACAAAAATGAAACACACATGTATACATATATACACACATACATACACACACACACATACACACATACACATACACACATACACACACACACACACACACACACACATCAGTGTTACCAACCCTTACCAAAATTTTACCCTAAGCATTTTTTAAATTCCCCTAAAATCCCCTAAATATAGAAATTTATATGTACCTACTTATCTTATTACCTAAATTCTTTCGTTGCTCATAAATTAAAACGTTACATATTTAGTTACAGTAAATTATTTTATTGAATAAATACATTTTTCGAATGGAAAATTAAACGAAAATGAGCTGACAGGCTGTTAAATCTTATTTAGCTGTCTTGATTGGTGGAAGGCAAAGAACTTTAGTCCATACAGCCTTAGGAAACAACCTGCCACACAGTGACTTCAGTCGTTTCATATCGTGGTGCGTTCAATTCTATGCACAAAACTGATAGAAAACACACGCTTTGTTTTTTGATTTAATTGAAAGTGTTATTAAAAGCCCCTTAAAGAACCCCCAAAAAATTCCAGCCCCTAAAAGAGTCCGTTTTAACCCTTCTAGCCCCTAAATCTGGGGGCAAAACCCCTAAGTTGGGAACCGTGACACACATACACACACACACACACACGCACGCATATACAATAGCGTGCGCGCATTGCCCACATCACGCCTTTGGTAGAGGGTTTTCTAAACTATTATGCTATAACTAAAAAATTTAAAATCCGTAATTGGCATTAAGATAAACTTTATTGTAAAACCTGTTTTATATTAAGAAAATGCTGTGGATTTTGGTCTAGAATTAAATAAATAAATCCCCCAAATATTACGTATTCTCGAATTGAATTAGTGAGGAGAGCACTCCGGAATTCTTATTGACCATTGAACCGATACGAGACTGATCAGATTCATCATGCTTTCATGGCGCACGTTTGTTTCGTAAGTTCCGAGTACTAGCCGGAATTATTGATGCATTTTAAGCATAATTGTTTGTCTAAATTGGATTGGCTTCACAGGCTGCGAGCAAAGAAGCTGAGCAGTAAATTGCTGTTATCAATACTTTTGTGGGGAAAGGTGAAAAGACAAATAACAAAATTTGGACAGTTGCTTTTGTTGATCTATTGGAGTTCTATATATTTTCTATAGCGCAAGAAAGAGGAGCTCGATTGCGCAAGTGGTTAGCGCGTTCGGCTGCGATCGTTGAAGTTAAGCAACTTTCGCAGTGGTCGGTCATTGGATGGGTGACCAAAAATTTACTATCTCGAGCCCCTCCGTGCTTCGGAAGGTACGTCAAGCCGTTGGTCCCGGCTGCATCTGCAGTCGTTAGCACCCATCAATCCGCACTGGGCCCGCGTGGTGGGTCATGGCCCGATCTCCCTATTCCATCCATAGGGAAGGCCTGTGCCCCAGCAGTGGGGACATTAATAGGCTGATGATGATGATGATATTTTCTATTATATAACTTTAGACAGCCAGTAGT